TGTCTTTTTTTTCTTATCTTTGAAAATTTTCTTTTGTGGTTTGGGAGGACAAGGTAGAGGGAGAACTTTATTATGTTAGCTAAAAGTGTTGTGTCAGTCCATGCTGCTGCATATTTTTCATGGATGATGTGGCACAAAACATAAAAAATGGTGATATTGAGCTAACAATTGAATGTAGCACATGATTGAGCACACCACTGTACCACAAGTGTGTATAATGTGTCATCTAGCTTCTACAGTGGTCCGGTATCATCATACATCGACCTTGCATAAAGTGGATATACGATTACTACCTTTTACGATAATCACATTTAAGTCTGTTTGTAATATTCGGATTAATCCCACATTGAAGGTGGGCAAGACTAAGATTAACTTGGTTTGACGGGTGTACTACTATCAACCTCAACTTAAGCATTTTTGTTAGTGATTTAAGCTAAACGAAGTTGACAGGCTAATTAGCCCATCAGGTTGGGTCATGACATTTAGTATCAGAACCGGCCTATTATTGGTGCATAGTGCGAGAGCTCGAGTAAGAAAGAACTATTTATGGATGAAGTTAGACTTATCACGACGTGGAGCTACTATTGGGCTACGCCTCACATACACCATATTAGGATTTGATTTGAGGTATATTGGGTTTTTATGAGAACATTAAGCTCTTAAGTGGGAGAGTTTGTAAGACTCTGATTAGTCCCATATTGGAAGTGGATAAAAATAAGATTAGTTTATAAGGAGTCTGATGGATAATCTATTATTAAATCTTAGTTTAAACATTTTGGCCAATCGTTTGGGCTCAACAAAGTTTGTAGTCTTATTTTCCACAAGTGGTAGCTGTACTAACTTAATACTTCAATGGTTTGAACCTAATACAGTCTTTGTATGAACAGGTTGATGGAATGGATGTTCTTGCTGTGAAGCAAGCATGCAAATTTGCAAAAGAATATGCGCTGCAAAATGGACCCATTGTAAGTAACATGCTTTTGAATCCAGCTCTCATTCATTTACAAGTATGTCATGTATTTAGAAATCAAATTCATGAATTCTATGTTATTAGTCCCCATAACTTATAAGCATCTACAGTTGCGTTAAATTGGTCCTTTTGTTATATAGAGATTGATAAGTTGAATAACTGGAGACAATTATATAGTAATGTTACATTAAGGTGATAAATGCTGAAATTTTCAACTACTGTCTGTTTATTGTGTTTAATCTTTTGATCGCCATATATATAACTTCAAACTGTGACATGATCTATCTTTGATTGTGTTTTGGAAAGATGACCTTATCTTTTGCGCTTCTCCATGAGATATATGTTGATTTCCTCCCATTGCACTGCATTATTTGAAGATACTTGTATACTGGAGGCATATTTTGGTCTTTGTGATAAAATTTTGTAATTAGACAAATTAATACTCAAGGTTGAAAAATGTATATCTATTATGAATTTAAGACCAGCCAGATAAGTTTTGAGGTACTTCACAAGCCAAATTGAAAATTGTCCCTTTGATCTTCTCGCCTACATATTCATACATCCGGTAATCTTTAAGTGTAATAAACTGTTTTGTCAGCGAGGAGTTCTATAGTTCTGTTTCAAATGCAACTTTCTAGGATTGGACAAGTAATGTTTCTTTCAAGCATGTCCATTTTTAAGCTTGTTCTGATCGAAGTTGCTTATCTTCATTGGTGCACATTTGAGATGTTAAATCCTAATGCTGACACCAACTACCAATATTGGTTTCCAAGTATAGTGGTATATTCCTGGTGCAGTGTCCTGTATGTACTAGTTTGAGCCGGGCTGGTATGGTTGGATGCCACATGTATATTCAGTATTATACAGTTATTTTAATATTAATGTTTGGGCATACTAGCTGGTATGTACCATTATCCAACAGGTTACCAGAATTACTGAGACTTAGTTTCTAAATGCTGGTATTTAAATAAGTGGTAAACGCCCCTACAATCTAGAGATCTTAATCATTTGTAAATTTGAGGAGGCTTTGCAAAGGATCGAGCATCTCTACATGCTTATGTATTGCTCTTCAATATTAGTCCAGAATCAGCAATTTAGGCAAGAAAAGGGTCTTCGATTGGAACTCTTAATTTTCGTTTGCAAGTAGGTTATTTATATTGATAGTTGTGTTTATTCTTTGCAACTGGGGTGCTACTGCCCAAAAAATACTAGAATATGAAAAAATATCTAGATGAAAGCAGAAAAAGGATCAATCTCCAAAGCATGGTCTGCAATACCGGACCGCACCGCCCGATACGGGCGGTACGTACCGGTCCGACAGGCTTCCGGTACGCGGACCATCTGTTACCGTTCCAAAGCAACACTGTATCAGCACTGTAGCATTGTAGCAGTGCTACAATGCTCGGCCCGCCTAAATATACCGAGCGGTACACCTGGGTGTACCGCTCGGTATACCGTACCGTACCGGTACCGAGCCCAGGTCGAAACTCCGGTACGGTACGGTATTACGGACCTTGCTCCAAAGTATCTTCAGGTATATTTATATATATGATACTTTGGAGTCAAATTATATATACCAATTTGGAAGCATAATGGCAATAAACAACCAACTATTCTTGGAGAGGCTGTAAATTGGTGTTTCTTGTGAAAATGTAATCATGAAATTAACTTGTTCTACTTTTTTCTCATTGATTCTTTCATCATACAGATTCTTGAAATGGACACTTATAGGTACCATGGTCATTCCATATCAGATCCTGGAAGCACTTATCGTGGTTAGCTGCATTTAGCCTTTGAGCCATTCGTTGGAAGCGCTTGCTTTCATGCTTATTTCTATATTTGACTTACCAAGTTGTGTTGATTGTGCCACTTGTAGGAGCGTGATCCTATAGAAAGAGTTAGGAAGCTGATATTGTCCAATGAGCTGGCTACTGCCTCTGAGCTCAAAGGTGTCTATATCCCTATATTATTCTGAATCAGCTTTTTCACATGTTAAAATATGGTTATACTTTCTTTCCTAGAATCTTTTTTATAAAATTTTATAAATATTTGTGCAGGATATTGAGAAAGAAGTCAGGAAGGAAGTGGATGATGCCATTGCTCTAGCAAAGGTGCTTACTATATCAGAAGTTGGCAATAATGTCTGACTTGAGATTAAAATAGCATTTGCTTTCTGATCATCATACTCTTGCTTCATTTGCAGGAAAGCCCAATGCCTGATCCTTCTGAGCTATTTACCAATGTATATGTAAAAGGTTTTGGTGCAGAGGTAAGCGAGAATACTTAATTGTAATTTAAAATTATGGCACAAATTTAATCATTCAAAATTACAAGAATATAATAAAGTCTAGACAGCCTGCTATATCACATAAATTTTCTTGGCATGATTTTTGGGTGCATAATCAAATTAAAATTTTGTTTTGCTCACAGGTGTTTGGTGCAGACAGGAAAGAGGTGAAAGCTGTTCTTCCATGAAGCAAGCAAACATTGATGATTTTTTTTTTTTGTCATGAAAAGTTGAGAAAATAAATATGGAAATGGAATGTTTCTGATCATTCAAAGTGTTCATCCACCATTAAATCAATATAAATTTGCCGAGTTTCCTAATTGTGTTTCCTGTATCCATTCCTCACGCATTTCTGCTTGTATAAATTCGGTGAATGCCAAGATTTCTTAAAACCACGCTAACTTGCACTTGTGTGCTACATTTATCTCTGATGATTTTATTTGTACTTTAGAGGTCATTGGTCTCATATTATTTGTGACTAATCTATTATATTTGCTTGGAAGATAAAAAATAACTGAGAATCTTCTCACCTGCAGACACTTAGAGATATTTATTATCTTTTTTTTATTTAATACTATTTTGACAAACGAGATATTTACTATCTTAAGAGTTGATAAGGTCATTTAGTTCCACATTGATTGAAGAGTATGAGAACTAAGGTTCATAAATCCGTCAGATCTCTCTTACATTCAAAAGTATTTTTTGAAGCTCACAAAAAGAATAAAACTTTACATATCTAATGTAATATTAAATTAAATTAATATTATATTTTTAATATGATCATTTAATATAATATATTTTTTTATTTTTTTAATTAAATTTATTAATATAAAATTTTAAATGAAATGATATCTGATTTTTTATTAAATTTATTAATTCAAAATTTACTTGAACCTTACATCTCTAGTGTAATATTAAATTAATATAATATTACATTTCTAGTGTCATCATTTAATATAATACTTTTTATTTATTAATTAATTAAATTTATTAATATAAAAAATTTAAATGAAATGATGTATGATTTTTTATTAAATTTAATAATATCAAATATTTACTTGAACTCATCATATGTGATGATGATTTAAGTGATAAGAAAAGAAAACGATGATGAAAGCCAAAATCCTACTACTATCTCATCAAAAATACTCAATATTAGTGAATTAAAAAAATACTCTATTAATTACTTAGTCATTATCATCATTTCAAAATTATTTATAAATATCAACATTTGATCATAATTAAAAAGATAGATAATCCGACTCTATTATTAACTTAATATTCTCTTTTAGCCGATCCCACCACCATTTTGATTTAAGTGGTCGGTCTCCGTCCTCTGTTCCTCGCGAAAGCATCTCAACCACAACAATTATTCCCAAACTAAAAATAAAAGTGTTTTCTTTCCCATCGGTGCCTTTCCTTCTCCACCTTTCGTCTCTGTCCTTACAAGAGCAAGAATGAGAGACGGCATCTAAATAACTTTAGATCTCTGCCTTTATAAGAGAAAGACTTTAAAGTGACTTGTTTTGACATCATTGCCTTTTCCTCCTCTTTTTTTTATCCAAATTATTTTTTTATTTTATATATAAAAAAGGAAAATGATAAGCTATCCTTTTTTTTTTCCTTCTCTCTTTTTCCCACCACATTTTATATTCTCAAAAGAGAAAAAGGAAGAAGAAGATTCCGAAGAATATTCGTCCCGTCTCTTTATAAGGGAGATGAGCGACCCGTCGTCGCAGCGCAGCAGTGGCGGCAGCGGAGCATCAGGCGGCAGCGATGGTGGCGAAACCCAGCTGCTACGCTCTGGCTTCCGAAGGCGGCGAGCCGGTGGTGGCGACGAGGGACGGAGGGGAGGAGCTGCTCTTCGTCCCGCCCCTCAATTTCGCCATGGTGGACGCCGGCCTCTACCGCTCTGGGTTCCCGGAAACCGCCAACTTCGGCTTCTTGAGGACGCTGAGGCTTCGCTCCGTCTTGTGCGTGATCCTTCTGCTCCCTTTCGGTTTTCTCGGGTTGGATCTTGGGTCTCTTGATCTGCTTCGTCCAGGGTTTTGATGGGATTATTCGTAGGTGCCTTTGCCCGGAGCCGTACCCAGAGGCGAACTTGGACTTTCTTAGGGAGAATGGCATCGGACTTTTCCAGTTCGGGATTGAGAATCGCAAGGTACTCCTTTTGATCGTTGTTCTTATGGTTATGCTTGCAGTTGTAATTATGATTCCCTTCTCGGTTCGAAGGACTTTTTGATTTGGGTGTTGGATGAATGGTTCATCATGCTGTGCACACTGGTTTCTTGGCTTGGTTCTATAGGATCTGCGTCTAATTGGGAGTCCTCTTGGGTTCTACATCTGATTACAAGTCCTTTCTGTGGAGGATTTTAGATTGGTTATTATTATAATAGCTAAGCCATGGTGATTTCTGTGTTGGTACTTCTAATATTTGTTTGTGTGCTGTTTTCCTCTTTTTTTCTTTTCAACTCGCAGATTGTACATTATTGACGATGATTAAGCTAGTGATGTCACAAATTCTTTTTTAGTTTAGTTGTTTTTGATATACCTATGAATAATTGAAGGTCTTGTGATTTGTGTTACTTTCCAACTACATTTAGGGGCAAGATAGTGGTTACACTTCAACCAATACTTGGGCAAAAATAGTGCAACAAGTCTTGAATTTGTAGGTTGGACTCTTGAGATAGGGAGGATGTGAAACAGGTTTTGGATTTCGGAGCCCCCGCGTCGATACCTGCTTATAATTTTCTACTAAGACATGGAAAAAACCATAATTTATTTTCAGATTTCTTGGTTGTTAGAACTCCATGTTGGTGTTTCATGCAGTAGCCATGAGGCTGCAGCTTGAGGAATGGATCTGCCATAGTTCATATTTTTAAAGTAGGAAGATATTTGTAATATGCACAAGCGAGAAAAATGACTTTGGGTAGCTTCTTAGTACAAGAAAGTTCATGAATATCACTTGGAAGAAAAACTAATTTCGGACCTGTTGCTCGGACAGATGGATTCTATGTTAGCTCCATCAGTTGGTAAACCTCCACCGGTGCACGTATTGGTGGGTGCCCTTGGATGTGTGTGAGCTTGCTACTTGGTGAAAACAAGAGGAAGGTAGGTCAAGGATGACAAGTGCAAATTAATAGTCAACTTGAGGAACGAACGAGTTTCATAATATAGTGGCAAAGTTACGTAAATGTCACCACCTGATCTGATGGGATAACTGAACTATTAACTTTATCGAGCCTAAACCATTGATCCAAAATGTTTGTGCTAAAGTTAACAATAGTTCACTCATCATACCCTTATAAGTCTATTATTTTATTGAGTCTAAACCACTAATTCAAAATGTTTACGTCGAAGTTAACATTAACCCTTATAAGCCTATTAACTTCATTGAACCTAAATCACTAACCCAAAATGTTTAAGTCGAAATTAAGATTAGTTACATTAACCCTTATAAGCCTATTAACTTCGTTGAACCTAAACCACTTGTTTAAAATATTTAAGCCGAAGTTAACAATAATTCATAAACCCTTATAAGCCAATCTTAGTCTTTGTCCATTTTCGATGTGGGACTAATCAGAATCATTGATCGTAATTGGTGTGTTGCAATAACTATTTGAAATTTAGTCTCCATCGAGTTGCTTGTATTTTACAGCGGGTCTATTGATTGTCTGGACATTCTTTTGGATGAATTTTCCTCGTTAGCAGATTGAGATTTCATGTTGAACTAGAGAACATAAAACGTTTAGTAGATTATTTAGGCAATTAAAGTGTTGCAAAGCTGATGCTAGAGGGTTTTTTATAATTCTGCCTGATCTAACAGGATCTTGGACCAATAAGTGCACAGGATGACATATCAAACAGCATGTTGATGCAGATTTCCTTTGGAAAGGCATATAGATTCATTTAATGGCACAACATATGACTCGAGAATTGCTTATCGCTCAAAACTTTTTTCCCCTGGTGGCACAACATATTTCAATTAGGTTTTGTTGCATGACCTACAGAACTATAGAGTTCTTCATAATATAGATGATGCAAATTATTATTGGTATTTGGGGATATAGGAAGTTGCAGTGTAACAATGATACTTTGTATTAGCAATTTTCTCGTGCATTTTGTTTTTTCTTTATTCCTAATATGTATTCGCTGCTAGTGAGTTAAGTATGTTTTTATTTTGGGATAGACTTATCATATCGAAGATACACCGCAAATCGTGCAGAAATTATCATCCCAAAAATATGCTGCAAAACATGCAAAAATTCCTTGGCATTTCCTTTATACATGGAAAGGGTCCAAGAACTTTAGCTGTGCAGAAATGGCACCATTCCATGGGGATTATGCCTCTTTTGACTATGTTAGCATATGTTGTTACATTTATTTTATAAGCCTTACAATAACAAGTTGTTGTGCAGGAACCTTTTGCCAACATCCCAGAAGATACAATTCGCGAGGCCCTCAAAGTTGTCCTTGGTATAGAACACTTGTAGAAGCTAATTCATTGCCTTTTCTTAGTGGCATTCTATTCCAACATGATTTTGTTTTCATGGACTCCACTTTGAAATGCAGATGTCCGAAATCGTCCGCTGCTTATTCATTGCAAACGAGGAAAGGTGAAGTCTGCCTATCCTCCATCATCATCATCATCATCATCATCATCATCATCATCATCATCATACTCAGACTCATCTTGATTGATGGAAAGCATCTATCTCATCCTTGATCTGTCTACTTGTCCAGCATCGAACTGGTTGTGTTGTTGGATGCCTAAGAAAACTCCAGCGCTGGTGTCTCACTTCAATTTTTGACGAGTACCGGCGCTTTGCTGCTGCAAAAGCAAGAATTTCTGATCAAAGGTTCATCGAACGATTTGACGTGGCGAGCATGAAGCGTCAGTCAGCAGCTTCGTTCTCAAACTAAGAGGACTGGCTTTACTTCGCCAGGAGAGACTTATAGTTCCTCTTTGACGACAAGCGAGAAATAAGCATATTTCATATGTTATGGAGGACCTTTCTTGTAATACGGGCATGTGTAGGATGACAGTATATGACCTGCTCTAATTTGTCATTTGGTTATGATGCTCAGATCTTGGTTGAGGAGGCATTTGTGCCGTCTTGTTCCGACTGCAAGCGAATCAGTTTTTCGAGATCGCTTGCTTCTCCGATTACCTCCACGAGAGGGTGTACGTGTAAGTATATTTGCAACCTGTTGGCATCTCCTTGTAATTGGATGAACATATCCAAGCAAAGTGTCTTTCAACCAAGTTTGTAGCTTAGTATCTGATTTTTTTTCTTTTTTACTTTTGTTAAGTTAGATTTTGATTGTTTGATGTGTGGAGATGATTTAGATGGTGTGGGAAAAATAATTGGGAGTTGCTTCTGCATTCGTTCCAAGGGTGGTGTCACAAAAATAAGGGCTCTCTGGTTTTGATTACACACTTCTAGCGTCCTCTGTCCCTGTCCTTTGTCCCTGATTAAAATTGGCTCTTTTGTTATATTAGATTTTGATTGTTGGACATATTGAAAGAGTTAAAATACGGGATCTATTTCTACACTCATTGTGTGTCGAAAAAACAAATGATTCGACGAACAATCTTGTAAAAACTATGTTGAGTGCATGTCGGATAAACCCCGACAAACAATCTTGTAAAAACTATGTTGAGTACATGTCGGATAAACCCCGCCCGTAGTTGGTTAGAGGATTTGAAAATATTATGAAAAAGTAAATAGTATTTTTTTTTTCAAGGACGGGCTTTTTATAGTATATTAGGGCTGATTATTGAGCCTAAGCATAGTTATCACCAAAAATGGATACAATGGGATTGATTGTGTGTTAGATTTGTCAAGTGGTAACAACTCGTCTTGATATTGGGATTATCAACCAGTGTCCCAAAATGTACTACTCTATCGGCACAAAATCGACATCCGCCATATTGCTAATCCTATGGGACAGGGATTTGGTTGATGTATCACCCAAGTGATCGCAATATGTCGGCCAGATGGGTATGACATGTCATCAGACGACCCAATTAGCAAATCTCCATTTCACCTTTTTTTAACTCTTAACATCTGCCAATACATATTCCCAACTTATGTGATAAAACGATATAACAATCTTCTTCAAGATCTGCTTATGTTTGACATCCATAAGCCCAATCATTACACTATATATATATATATATATATATATATATATATATATATATATATATATATATATATATATATATATCTCCCACCAGCAATTGGGATACGATAATAAGTTTGATGCACACCACAAACACAATTGCAGGGTCATCAACGCAGAGCTGCTGGTATCACGGGTCGTTTGCCTTGGTAAGCACAAAGACGCTACCAGCATAATCTCTGGAGATTCTTAGCTCCTCATCGAGATAAGTGGTTAGCAACCACGACTGTAATGCGTTGTTTATTGGTATTTTGAGTGGAGGTCGTCCAGAGATGGTCCGAACCACAGACGATGCTGCATTCTGGATGGATTTGAAGACGCCATCGAGCAGAGATAGGTCAAGACTCTGCCCCAGGAACTCCACCTTATCGGGTATAACGATGTTATCTGTCAGCTGTGGTGTTCCAATTATGCCTTCCTCGAATTTGATCTGGTTGGAGACGACAGTAAACGAGCCACCAATGAGTGTGAGTCATCACACAAGACGGAATCGATTATGATGCAACAAGGACAATAACCCTAGATGGCTGTTTTGTTGCTATCTGATACACCAAGTTATCAGGTAAGACATGATTCTTTGATGAATCAAAATCACTGGTTCCAAGTATTGCAAGGCATGGTTAATTTTCTTCCATGTCAATAACAATACCACATCTGTTCAGCATTCTGATTACCTAAAACCAGAGAAATTTCAAACCATATGTATTTTCTGACCTCATCTACAGAAAATAAAAAAAAAAGTCTATATCTATAGTCTCAGAATTCCATTTCCACAAGCAAAGAAGTGCATTGCAATATACAAACTGTGACCCAATAAGTCAAGGCTGCTATACAAATTAGCTTAAATTATTCTTTATCCCCCTTGTTTTCTTATGTATCAGTTTTGTCTTTTTTTCCTCTCCTCTTCCTTTTTGTTTTTCTCTTGTTTTGTTGTTTGGAAGGAGGGAGAAAAAGTGGGTCTAGAAGAGCAACCCACCCCACATGAGGATTGTAATTTGCATCTACCTATTGAGCCTAAATCACTACCATCAAAATGTTTAGGTCCAAAATAATAATTAAAGATCCATCTAGTACTTATAAGTTCATTCAAAATCGAGATATAAACATATTTTTGGATTGGATTTTTCCATTGAATCTTTTGACATAGGGTTAAAAATCAAGAAAGAGATGGGTTTTGTTGGAGACTTTCTTCTTAGTTCCTCTTAACAGAAGCAAGATAATGTTCAGGGCAGAGTTGATCGACCAGTGAGATTTCTCCCAAATTAAAATTTCATCGGTTCTTATGACCTAAGTATTCTCGATTGGCAGTGATTTCACTGATCTTGGAATCGAATTCTTGCAGAACATGAAAGAGCATTGCTATTTACGATTAGTAAGTAAGAAATGGCAAGAGTCGGTGTTGCATTCGGGATACCTGAACTCTCTTGGGGCTTCGGACTTCGAACTTGGCACTGGTGGTGACCGAAGTGGTCGCCAGAGGCCCCAAAAGCTTCACCGAGTTCTGCACCGTGAAGCTCTCCGAATCAAAACTCTGAGATATCTCGTCCACCTTCACCAGCGACGGTAGGCGTCCCGACGCCAGAAGCGGGAACAACGCCGAGAACGAAGTGTAACTGCGTCCGCGACCAAATTAATCGATGAGACTGAATCGATCGAGTTGAAGGGGGCGGAAGCTTACGCGAGGATCCATTTGCCGTCGAGGAGAGTGAGGGCGTCGGTGGGAGCCGGGGTGGGGTTCTTGGCCTCGATCTGGCCGATGAGCTCCACGATCTCCGCCCTCGTCTCGCTCGACGTCTTCAGTCCCCAGTCCGTCCCGGACACCAGATCCATCAGTTTCTTCTTCAGGTCGCTCACCTCGCTCGCAGCCACCAGGAGCTCTGTCACCGCCACGCCGCCCAACGGCTCCTCGCCTCCCTCCTCACCCTGCTCGTCGTCGTCGACCACCGCGCGAGAGAGGATCGGGGCTCGGGAGAGCAGATGCCTCCCGGTGCTCCTCAGGATGGGGACCTTCATGTGGATCAGACCAGTGGGGACGAGGTTTCGGCGGGGCACGGCCGTAGCCACTGCTGCCGGGGGAGCCTTAAGGGCCATGGGTTTCCAAGACGCCACCGCAGCCATTGAAGTAGCTCTTCAGACTCCGATCGCTTTTGCTCTCTCGCGTCAATGTTAGCTTCGTCGAGCGATTGACGCGAAGCAGACCGTCGACAGGAGGAAGGCAAGAGTTTGGCGCTTAATATCACCAAGTACAGTGGCTTTGATGTAATAATAACATCTTAGCGAGTCCAACAAGATCGCAGCGACTTGAACGTATTTAATCTGCCACTGATTTCGCGACACGTAGAAACGGTCACGCTCACTACGGAACGACTTTTACGTTCAACCGTCACCATGTGCGTCGTCGGCCGGTCTTCTGATGCGTGCACTCGCAAAGGTGACGGAGAGTGTACTATTTCATATTCATTCCTGTTCTCGAGTGATTAGCGTGGGGTCCACCAGGGACTCGCTTAACTGCATGCATAGAGGAGGAGATGGCGCGATCCGTGGGGTGCTCGTTCGTTCTTGAAGCTTCTTGGTGCGTGCACGTCACGGATCTTGGGACGTCGGCGCATGCACAGCACGAGCCGCGAGGACTTCGAAATCCTAAAATGCAATCGCTCATGCGTTTTAGCTCACATGACGTAATATTATCAAAGCCGTGGTCAACATGACGTAATATGAATTTGTATGCGTAAAATTATGCATTCAAAATAAAAATGTTAAACTCTCAAAATGTCAACTAAAAGATCAAAATTTAAAAAAAATTAATTTAATTTCTCTGAAGCTCTAGTAACTCAGAGATATATGAATTTGAACATGATAAAAGAAATCAGTCTTTTATTATCATGATGAAGATAAATATTTATACATGATCACAAAAGGATAAAATATTTTATAAAATATTCTATGAAAAGATAATTTCTCATTGCTCCCAAAGATCTATCTCTTGTTCATGTGAATGACAAAAAAAAAACAATCCTGAACTATCTATCTGTATTGAACTTGTTTTATACTATTATTCATACCAACATATAGATGAAAGGTGTCCTAAATCTTTTTTCTCACCAAAGACTTCACGTGACGAATATATGTCAGATAATGATTAATTGATAATATACTATGTGAAAACAAAATAGATTAAAGCATAGATAGACTATGATCTATAATAACAAAGATTAATCTAAGGAATCTTTTGATAAATCACAAATGAAAAAAAATGAAATTTGATCGTAGAACCCTACAATGATAATAGCAGTCACCTTTGTTTTGTATTCCCCTTTTTTCATACTACTTTCATGCAAGAATTAAGAGCGCATGTTCGACATATCGTCCTCATGAGTTATTTGTCCTCTTATTCATAAATTTAATATCCAACCTAATATTAGGCCCTACAAACTTGTATCAGATTTACATCCCATTCTTCTTTTAAATTTCTTCAACATCTAATAGGTAAACAAAAACAAATTAGATTCAACAAATAAGTACTCATTATATAATGAATCATAATTATGAAATAATTGCATTTAGTTCCCACAGCTTAGCAGCAGCAACAAAAACAATGAAGACAGAGAAAACAAAAAGACCAATGTGTCTTCCCATGTCAATAGCACACATCAGACCCTATGACTACCAAGCAACATTGCAGATTTGAATAAACTGGTACAAATTTAGATGCATAAACTAATTTTAGCTAACAAAAATGTAATACACAGACAAAAGATCCAAGCGACTGAATGCAGAACTAGCATCAAGAACAACTAAGGGGAGAGATGGACACCAAACACAGACAACATCTCTGTAAGATTATATACATTAAAGCCTCAAGAAATGCTTTCACCTCTCAAAAGAATGAAAGCATGCCTAATCATAACCTTTCTGTAAACAGGAATAAGAAGGGAAAGAACAAGAGTGAAATTATTTAAGGAGATGATACTGGCTTAAGAGATCCCGATTGTCTTGCCCAAAAGCCACAAGAACAGAGTAGTTTCAAGCATAAATACCGTATGAAGCCAAGACCGGTCAACTGTGAATCCAAATATGGTGATCCCTGCCCTGTTGTTCTCCAGATATGTCACTGCAATTCAAGAAGAATCAAGTTGAATTTAGGTAAACAAGATGAAGAGCCAAGTCTCAAAGAAGTTTTTACTACACATGCAAAAGAGGCACCTATGGTTTCAAAAGAATGGATGATTGTAAAGCTTTACCGAGTGCTTGTCTCTTTTGAAAGGAAATGGTGTGAGCATGGGATTGTACAATCTTCGTCCCTTCCAGTTCATCCTCCTCACTGCCCTCTTCCTCATCAGAGTCCTCATCGCCATTGGTTACTGGGAATTCAGAACTAGCCTTGGAAATAGCTTCAGAGGGTGTCTCAGGATCTACAGCAAAAGTCTCAATGGTGGCACAGACATGCCACTTTGCAGCATGGCTTGTGAGTGCTTGAGCTTTGTGGGTGATTTTGGCCGCACCACGTAAGCATATAAGGAGTCCAGTCACAAGCGCAAATGAGCAGATCTGCGAGTACAAAAATCAAAAGATATTAGTTCAATTACCATGATCAACCGAAGGCGTCTACTGCAGCTGTCTGTTCCTAGCCTTGGGAGATGCTTCTGAATACAACTAGACATGTAATTGTGGTTGTCTACATGCAGCAACTGGTATCACTGAGTATTCATAGAATATCATATTCTTCATGCGATCGATAAAGCTTAAATCAAAATATGTACTTTGATAAGGGTTTTTTTCGGGTACATTGGACCTGTGCTCTAATATCATGATAATTATTGAGCCCTTATGAACCTATATAAAAGCTTAAGCCAATAAATGTTACATGATAAAATCACAGAATGATGGTGCAATTTGGAATTTAGAAACATAATAAATTGCACTTCAAAAATCACAGAATGGTGGTGTAATTTGATCTGAAGTGACACTGACCAATCTGAAATACAAAAGACTTTCAGTCAACATCATTTTGTCCATAAACTTTGAGCTCATACCTTCAAATTTTCAATTATGCGATACAATGAATATACTTAACTAATCAAAAATCTGACATGTGGATCCTAGTTAACGAAATAAGCCAAAGGTACTTGTCGCATCAACACAAAATCAAGCCGATAAATATTATCTCAATCAAACCTGGTTTGAAGAATATTTCTCTAATGTATACAATTAAGATTTTCGCACTATAAATAGGAACCTCTTCCAGTCCAACATAAATTATCTCTCTAATTGAATATTATTCTCCTAGGCATTTACTGATTTGATCAGTCCGGTGAACCGAGTTGGGAGGTTCAACCGGGATTCAGATTCACTAAGGAGGTTCAACTCGGGATCAGCCTTCTAAGATTCAAGTGCCACTTTATTTGAAGAAGCAGACAACATCAGTTTCCCTTTAGGGCATCGGTTTGACGATCAAAATTGATATTAACTATATGCTCATGGCTTAAAATCTAAATTATGCTACACGAGTTGGACGAATATTCTAGTCCAAGCATAGAATTATAATTATTCTAAATTATATTAATAAAGAAAATCTCCGACCACAGAAAAAGGAAACCTACTAAAAAGACAGAGATAAAACTCACCGCGAGCTCTCCGGTGTTGAAGAGGCTATCATCGGAGTGCGGGCGGGTGGTGACGAAGACGGCCGCGAATTGGCTGGCCGTCACCATTATCAATCCCAAGAGGATGAACCCCCGGAACCGGTGGCTAATAACTCTGAGCTGCCTCCGCACGCGGAGGTGTTCCTTGAGCACCACCATCACCTCCGACTCCTCCTGGAACACCGCCGCGAACTCCTGCAGCCGCAGGATCTGCAAATGGCAAATCGATCGGAACATCACGCACACCACGAAGAAGCTCGCGGTGCGGTAGATCCACGAAGCCAACTCCAGCGCGCACGCGACGCAGCCGGTGGCCACCGGGTTCCCCAGGAAGGGGATCCGGTCGGCGCTGAAGGCGTACCACCAGGACTTGTAAGCGACCTCGGCGACGAAGCAGGGGGTGACGAAGAGAGCGAGGAGGCGGAAGGAGCGGCGGAGCTGGGCGGTGTAGGCGAGGCGGACGCGAGGGCTCTGGCTGGGGAGCTTGTCGAGGAGGAGGAAGCGGCGGAGGCCGTAGCGGCGGGTGGCGGAGGAGAGGGTGAGGAAGGAGAGCGCGGCGGCCGCGGAGAGGGAGAGCTGGACTACGAGGTCGTAGGGGCGGCGGTCGGGGCGGTATGAGAGCACGAAGTGGGACACCGCTGGGATGGCCACGGCGAGGACAAAGAAAGCCACCCACGAGACCACCGCGAGGCCGGCGTCCGACTGGTCGTGGCACATCCACCGGAGGCAGGATCGGAGGCCACGGAGCTCGTCATCACCATCGTCGCGGCCCGACTTCCTCGCCGGGAGGAGCGGCGCGGCTTGCCCTCTCGCCATCGCTGCGGTCACTCCCAAGTACCGACTTATTCGACGTATTGACCTCAAACGAGCACAAGAAGACAGTGGAGGAGGAAGACAAACCAGAGGAAAGGAAGCCAAGGGGGCAAGATTTGAACAGCTTTGTTACATTGATGTGTTTATATACTCTGGGAGAAACGAGAAGGGAGGTGATGGAAGCACTAATGGGCGATGAATCATAGCCTGCTTTGGCCAGCAGGAAAGGGACTAATTACTTTGTTGCAGGGGGAGGGAAAGAATCACTATGCATCGTAATGAACCAGACAAAAGAGTGTGGCGTTAGAGGAGTCCAGGTGGAAGATTACCAAATTACCATAATAACCCTTATAGTGTAATTCTGGCAACCTACACATTCTTAATTTTCTTAAAATAGTCAAAAATAAGAATAATATCTCATCAAAAGCTGGTTTGTGGAACAGCTCAGCATGATCTATTATGATCTCAATGTATCAGACCTCTTGCTCATCTGATATATAACAAAAGTAGTGGTAGGAGTTCATGGAAGCGTGTTTGGTGACACAACATGATGAGATATTATGTTATTAGTATCGATTGCGCCATTTCTGTCAGTTCAATCTCAAGACGAGGTGTACCACGTCCGTTCCGTGACCTGTGCAGGTGTACTACTCGATCGCGGAGGCTGTGTTTACAACACGTAGACGCAGACGCGAGAAGTAGGTGCAGGTTGAGGAAGGCGACTGGAAGTGGAACAGGGGCATTTTGGTTCGCTTCCAGGTGGCTTTCGGTGCCATTTGGCGACCTCCTCCTGCGCTGACGGCGGTGCGGCGCCCGTGAGCTGAGCAAGCCAATGACGAGCGGCTACGCGTGTCTTAGTTCACATGGGATGCGTATATTTTATTGCAACGGGAGGGACAAGTTCGTCATTCTATATCGCATGAGCTGGATACATGATTGGTTCATTTGCAATAGGAGATTACCGTTTATAATCTCATTTTTTAAAATTTTAAAAATTTTTTAAAATTATTTTTTAATAAATATATTAAAAAAATTTCGATAAGTAAAATTAAAGCAAAGGCTAAGGAAATAATAATCAACGATGGAAAGCATAAATTAGAAGACAATAACAAACAATAAGCATAGACTTGACAATTAGACGTAGATTAAGAGACGACGATACGATAGGAAGTACTAAGGAATGTCGATAACAATATGATGCACACACAGTGATTATAAGGGATGTGAAAAAAAATCAAAATTATAGGGGTTATAAATAGTAAATTATTATTATTTTTTTTAAGATTATGAATAATAATAAGTTTTTAATAATAAAAAAAAACTCTAAATAGTAGGCTCCTTGTAATAGCATCTTCCGCATTCTTAATATATGAAATACATAATGGGTGTAATTTGGAAAAAAAAATCTATCTTTATTTATTTTTAAGGTATTTCTTATATCTTTTAAAAGTTGTCCCTTATTTATCATAATATATAAAATAATTTATGATAATATAGTTGAGCATTACAGATTCACCATATAAATAAATCTATAAGGTATACCGGTCTAGTCTCTCATATATGGTATTATATTATCAGTTACAATGTTCTTGAGGCTTTAGTATTTTTCATATATCCATCAAAATACTGTAATCATATATAAAAATACTACATACAAATTGGGTCACATGTAAAAATAAGATTTCAAATACCTATTCTTATTAGTTTATGAACAAAATTAAATCAAATAATTAGACTTGTATGTCTTTCACAGTATTTTTAAATATGTTTACAGTGTTTTTAGTAATTTCACCAAGACATTTGTATGTAACTAAAGTATTAAACTGATTCATATGATATACTCAGTATATACTATATGCTCCAAATGTATGACTATTTTATAGATTATAATAAATGTGAGTTTCCTTATGAAAAATATCAAAATGATGGCAGATGATGATGATGATGGATCAACAGAAAACATTTAGAGGACTGGGCCCCACTTCTCAAGGAGATTAAAGAACACAGGTGTTGGAGGTCAAGGTGGCACTTATTACGTACAATTTAGAAGAAACGTCTTTGGAAGAAGCTCATGTGTGCTTGAGAATGGACATGAACAACCATAACTCAACTTTGCTTAGAATATATGGTTCAAGCGTTGTGAGAAGAGAAGGTTATATATTTGTTCCACCGAAGATACGAGCTGGTGAGAAATTGTGGACTACATAATTCGATTCTATAAGGTAGATCAAGATGCTCCAAATCAGTCATGAACACATAGTCAACGAAACACGTCATCCATCGAAGAAACACAGGAAAGAAGTCAGGCTGTAATGGATCATGAAAATATTATACACAATCATGGTTGATCTCGTTTAAAAAAATTGAGGGGTTGAGAGAGAATTTTGTATGTCGTATTCAACCTTAGTTTAGTGGTAAAATATATATGTATATTTTATATTTAACTTTAGTTATTATTTTTAGTATTGTCACAAAAAAAAAAAAAGGAAACTTGAAGGTAGAAAACACTTATATCTCATATTCCCTTTTCAATCCAGTCATACGAAAGACTGCATCAGATGGTGTAACTAACAAATCCCTCCTATAGTTAAGACAACGTCAATTTATTATAGGTAAAAAATGCTTAATAAATCTATAAAAAATATATAGAAAAGATAATATCTTATAAACTATTAAATAATTTAGTCGAATAATATATATATATATATATATTATATTATAGGTGCTTTTTTTATCGTTAGGGTATAAGGTAACACAACACACTCGTTGATATTTTATCATATTTTGATTGACTAGACTCTGTCGATTTTTGATTCATCGAAAATAATAATATTATTAATTAGTTCTCTCGATGAAATTGGACTAACTCATACTACCACAAGGGGTAAATGTGGGGTTGGAGAAGTGAGCGGGTACGTACGGTAAACCCGAGAGTGTCACGATACCGCACGGGTAGGGGGTCGCGTAAGAACAATATGTGCGATGAAATGATGTCACGATACCCACACAGTGGAGCCGTGTCGTTCGGAGATCACTGACCGCACGATCCACATCAGACGGCCACGATGCTCCCTTGCTGCTTTACCCTCCGAATAAAACCGGCATAACGCTTTCCCGTTTAAGTATGTGCACCGCTTTCCCCGTCTGGTCCCACCTCGCGCGCATGAGCGACTATTATCCTCCCCCACTCTTCTAAGAGCGGAGAACAAAACGCTCCTCCAAGAACAACTCCCGCTCTGTACTGCTCTCTCTCTCTCTCTCTCTCTCTTTCTCATTTTCCCTTCTTTTGCCCTAGACGATGAATCTGGTGTCGTCTTCCGTCGCTTCTTGCCCCAAGGAGAAGCAGAAGATATACCAGGAGTGGTTCTCAGTCGCCGACAAGGGTCCGTCGATTCGTTCCCTCTCACACTCGTTTGATTTTTGTTTCTCGCTTCTTTTCTCATGACGTTTGATATGCTTCTTTTCTCTGCGGTTTAGATGGAGACGGGCGCATCACGGGGAACGACGCGCTCAAGTTCTTCGCCATGTCGAAGCTGTCCCGGTCCGAACTTAAGCAGGTCACGACTTCGTTAAGATTCGCCGCTCTGTTCTCGCTTTCGTCAATTTCTTTGCTTGCTTGTTTTCAGTTCCTTCCGATCAACGTTTAATGCGATGTAGCAATGGATTCTCGTCACGTTTCTGTGAACCATAGATGTTTCTTTTCCGTTTGTCCAAGAAATGCCTGATTGCAAGGAAAAGAAGGGGGGAGGATGGAATTAATGGTGACAGTCTGGTTGTAACTGTCTACTTTCAAATGATTCAGATGTTGACGATGGGTGCTGGACGAATTGAGGATTAAAAGAGCCACGAAAAATTGCAGTTGTGCAGCTCTGTTTTCTTTAGAATCGAGGATACATAGAATCACACAATTCTGAGACCAAATTATATTTAGTTGTTTCTTAGCGCATGATCATCGATCATCCTTTATCACCATTATGACCTAAGTTTACCAGCAAGTTTCTTGCATACGATGAATCCCAAGTGGCATGCATGCAATTGATGAATGATTCAGAGGTTCTTCTTGTAGTCCAATGGAAGATTTTCTTAGGATGGCTAAGTATTTTTTATCTCTAAGGATGGGTGAGTATACAAATTACTTGGAGAATCAAGTTAAAAAATAAAAAATTCAAGTATGGAGAAAAAAGAAGCCTTGAAAAAGAGTTTGATTATCTTAAGGTTCCTTGGGGAAAGTGTACAAGGAAAATGCTTTAAGTGCTACTAAGGTGTTCTCTTACAGTATTGAAAGAAGAAGAATTTTTCAGGGTTTATGTTAGAGAGTATTACCCATGCTTTGAGCTTATGTTCTAGTCTAATCAATGGAAAATTCTATTCCTTGTAGCTTATTATTCTTTGGTAGTAAGAATTTGAGTTTGTTCTTCATATACATAAACTGAGTGTATCAAACCACATATCTATTGTGTTCACGAATTTGTGGGTTTATGTTTTATTATTGATTCTTATCTTGTTTTCTTTTTTAACATTAGTCTTCTTCCCTCCACCATATCTTAAATCATGGGTGACTGCAATAATGACAAAATATAGACAGCAGACTGATCATATAGTTGTAATTGTGAGAAAACCATTAATCAGAACTTTTTGTTAAATGGCATTTAAGCCACATAATGAGAAGGTGCCACATTAACTGTGCCTGTATTTTTTCACTGCATTGAGATCGACCCATCTGCTCTATAGTTTCAGTTGATTTCTTGGGACTTTCATCTTGGGTAAAAGTTAATAATTAGGTTAACTAGAGATAGGCCAAGGTGGTCCTGAGTAAAAGAGCCTTTCTTTAATAGATATACCTTATGTTGAGGGAAAATGCCATAAATAACCAACCTTAAATTGTAGCCATTTGTATAGAAATTAAGTTCCTTTTTCCTTATATTATTAAGAATGTAAACCAAATGGCATTTATGCTAAGTTGTTAGCAATTAGGGCATGCTGTTTCTTTTCTCAAATTTTTTTCTATGTTCATCCTACTAAATAATGTGGCCTTTACCTTTGCACCATGTAATTAGATTACATGTTGTTCTTTGGCAATAATGTATTAATTTTTTTCTGAAGGTCTGGGCCATTGCAGACTCTAAGCGGCAGGGTTTTCTTGATCTCCAAGAGTTCATTAACGCAATGCAGGTTTTGCTTTGCATGCATTTTTTATATTAAAGGACATAATGCCCATCACTAATTTTTTGTCATGATGTTCAGCTTGTTGCACTGGCTCAAGAAGGGCATGAGATGACTCCAGATTTGCTTAATCATGCAGGTAACTCCGTGACTCAAAAAATCCCTACAGCTGGTATGCTTTGAAGTAATGCTAATTTTGTTAATTGTATGCATCACTTTTCCTCACAACAGACTTGGAGAACTTAAAACCGCCAGTGATGGAAGGTTTGGATATTCGACTAGCTGTATGTCAATTATTCTCTTTGTTCCTTAAAAATTTTGTTGTGTGAATGAGTATCATCCTCGACTTACTGCAATTAACCATCTTCTAGAAATCAAAGCGCTCAGAAAAGAAAAGCGATCCTTGTTCAGATGGTAGGAAGCTTGCTTCTAGAATTCATGAAAACATTCTGGATGGTAGTTTACCTAGCTGATGTTTCTGGTGATGTTTTCAGTACCACCACAGCCTCAATCACCTGCATCAGCTCGCTGGTTTAACTCAAAATCAGCAAAAAAGGTAATTTTTTGGATCAATGTATACTTATCCTTCAAATTTCATGTATGAGTAAACATACTATAAGCTTTTTCTGAATCCTTTTTGGATATTATAACAAGTATATATGGTGGTCCTGGCAAGCCTTGTTTCTGCCCAGGCGCTATCATACTCTCTCGCGCCTTGTTTTTTTCCTTGGACTTGACATTCTTTATGTTTAAGCCTTTGCATTCGATATCTCATTGACATTGTTAGAATTTTTTGACAAATTTTCTAGAATCAACCATTTGCTTTTATCAGCGTTGATTATCACGAAATGAAAGATATGATCACCTGTACTTACAGACTATATATATTGGTTTTTGCAGTAGAAAGTATGGATGGCTATTTTAGTAAATTAGCCAGACAACATGCCCCATCTATTTTGTTGTTCTGATGATGATCTTGTGCTTATGTTTGTTGTTAGATACCTTCAAAGTCAGTCACCTCAATTATCGATGGTTTGAAGAAATTATATATTGAGAAACTGAAGCCTTTGGAAGTTACCTATCAATTCAGTGATTTTGTTTCTCCCTTGTTGGTAAGGCATAATTCCTGATTTTTTTTTTACCACAGTTTTTTTAGTTATCAAACTGCACAAACTTTTAGTAGAACCTTCTCATTGAATTTAAATTAATTATTAACAATTTCATTCTCTAGTTTTGACCTCACAAATAAATCCTTCTGTAGACAAATAGTGATTTCGATGCCAAGCCCATGGTTATGCTCTTGGGTCAATATTCTACTGGAAAGACCACATTCATAAAACATTTATTGAAATCTAGCTATCCAGGTTTGCCGATACTTATACTATTTATTTTTAAAACTTCTTTATTTCTCACTTAATGTTGCCAAGAATGCATATTGGACCACCTTTCTATATTCCTGCTTTCTTTCAGGTGCACATATTGGACCAGAACCTACAACCGATAGATTTGTTGTTATAACAGTAAGTTTTCCTTTCCCCCTCTTTATTTTTGTTTTCTTCGTTTTTCTTTATATTTGTTTGGGTTTCTTTTCTGGGTGGATGCTTTTTTAGAGCTCTAATTTTTTTTCAACTAATTATTTTGCTTATATGCAGTCAGGACCAGATGAGAGAAGCATTCCCGGGAATACTATTGCTGTTCAAGCAGATATGCCTTATAATGGCCTGACTGCATTTGGCACTGGCTTTTTATCAAAGTTCGAGTGTTCTCAGATGCCCCATCCAGTATGATTTTATCTTTACCCCTAGTATGGAAAGATATTCCTCCATTTTAATTCAGGATCCAACTGTATAACCTTTGCTTGTGAAGCTTTTGGAACACATTACTTTTGTTGATACTCCTGGTGTTTTATCTGGGGAGAAACAACGAACTCAACGCAGTTATGACTTCACTGGGGTGACATCATGGTTTGCAGCAAAATGTGACCTTGTTCTTCTCCTGTTTGATCCTTATAAACTTGACATCAGTGATGAGTTTAAGCGTGTAATTGGATCCTTGCGTGGTCATGATGATAAAATACGTGTTGTTCTGAATAAGGCAGACCAAGTTGACACCCAACAGGTGAAACTTTAAGCTATCTGTGCATCTGTTTAACATACCTCTTAATGTTACATATGTTGAATCAATTTTTGACAAGCTACCTCTTTGTCAACAAAGACTGGTTCGAGTTTGATTGACGACATGTTTCTTTTCTGTCATATGTCACAGCTCATGAGAGTTTATGGGGCATTGCTGTGGTCTCTTGGAAAAGTTCTGAACACCCCTGAAGTGATGCGAGTGTACATTGGGTAAGCTCTTAGTAACAATGTAGATAACTGTGTATCCTGTCTTCTTCAATGTTATAATGAATGATGAATATTTTACAGTTATTTTTAAAATTTCAACCAGGAGCTCATCTCAAGAGTAACTTTTATGTCCTTGAGAACTTAAATCATCCTTAATGCTATTAGGGTGCATTTTACAGTCTCCGAAATTCCAAATGAATTTCACCTAACAGCAATTAAAGATTGTTGCTTGTCATTCTAAATCGTTCCTTCGTTGCATATACAGTTCGTTTAATGACAAACCGATAAATGAAGCAGAACATGCTGTCATTGGAAAGTTGTTTGAAAAAGAGCAAGAAGATCTCCTTTCTGATCTGAATGATATCCCAAAAAAGGCTTGTGACCGTCGTGTAAGTATGGTTGTTGCAATGTTTGAACATCTTTCTGCATCGTTACTCTTTCTCGATCACTATGTTCTTTATATCTGCAGATCAATGAATTTGTGAAGCGTGCAAGAGCAGCCAAGGTTCATGCATGCATAATTAGTCATCTGAAGAAGGAGATGCCTGCAATGATGGGCAAGGCTAAGGCTCAGCAGAAACTTATAGATAACCTGGAAGAAGAGTTTTTAAAGGTCATCTTTCCTCTAGTAAATTTTCTAGGCATGATTAGTCAATTGTGTATCTACTTTAAGATCATTGGCTTTAGTTCCTAAGTGGTTTCTAATAGTTTTTGCTTAGTATGATAGCTATTAGCTGATGGGTTGCTCCAAGGTCAAAATTCTCAGACATTGTCATGCAAGCACTTTTCAGCTATTCTTTCTCATGTCCCATCTCCTAATTGCTATTGACGTTTGGTATCTCATCAATTGTGGCTATAGTTTTTGTTTTCTCAATTACATTTCTACCTTGCCAATTTGATGCTAGGTTGAAGGCGAGTTGCACATTCACTGTGATGAAATTTTGTGTAAACTTCTTGGTGTCCTGTTTTTCGTGTCATGATCTATAGCCAAACCAATATCATCTGAAAAGGGCTTGACTGATGATGGCTCGACATATAATAAACATATGATGATGATGACTTGTCATGTAATAAATATATGCAAGGTGGGAGCGAACCTTGGTAGGAGGGCTTAATACAATACAGAATTTATAATGGAAGCAGTTTTCCCAGTCTCTTCCGTTATATTTCATAGAACTGTAAGAAACATCAGAATTACATATCCTAATTATGACCAAACCTTGGTGAATTAGGGCTTCATTTGCGTTGCAGATAACGGTCTTCACAATACTGTTTCTTTTTGGCACAGTATCCAGCGAAAACTTTTGTAACCATTGACTTCGGTTGCTTGTTGCTAATACTTATTTTTGCATATTTGTTTGGAGTGTAACACAAATGGAAGGTCATTTCAAGTACAACATCCGGTTCATATGAGTAGACTATGTATTTGCTCTAATTCCTTTGCAAGTAAGATGTTGACTCCTGTTCCTTTTTTGCTTATGCACTCCATATTGCGTTTCTGCTAGTATTATTTGGTATACAATTAACAGTGACTTGAAGCTATTTTAGGCACTTGGTTGATTTTACTCATTTTCTTTTTGTCACTGTGGTTTGGTTCCAAATTTGAGTTTTACATTCAGTAGTTGTAAGGTGGAACTGTCTGTCAAATAAATGTATGTACGGAATCTGACAAGTGTGTTGAGCAGGTCCAGAAGGAGTTCCACTTAGCACCAGGAGACTTCCCCAATGTCGACCAGTTCAGAGAGGTGTTGGGTGGATACAATATTGACAAATTTGAGAAGATGAAGCATAAAATGATACAGGCAGTGGATGATATGCTGGGGTATGACATCCCAGAACTTTTGAAGAGGTTCAGAAACCCATATGACTGAGGATGCCTCACACTGAATAGTGAAACATGGTCTGTTGCTCTCGAGAGACCAAGTTGTAACGAAGTAGATGTTGAGCTTGTACTTCTGCCACGAGGAATTTGCTTTTTTCTTCTTCGTTCAAACCATTAGTTTTGGAATCTTGTTTCCACGTTGATAGATATGGTTGTATTTCAGTGGATCTATTAGTGCTGGTGTTGCTTTGGACAAGTTTTTGTTTAAATATTTGGTATAGACTTCATTTATTTTGAGGGTTGTATATCACCGTGAGCTGTGTTTTTGTTTTTTTATTTTTCTTTTTCCAAAAGGTGAGTAGTGAGGACACAACTTGATCCAGAACCTTGGTATATTAAGATCTTAACGTCTTCATAAAACAATTGAGACATGATCATATATTTATTTGTTAACTAATGTTTTAAAAATTTAATGGATGAGATTTTGAACTATCAATTGGTTTAGGTATAATTTGGTTGTCTGATTTGTGAAGGGGGTTTAGAGCTAATCTGGATCGGAGTTTGAGTTTATTATAAATTTAGTGTCGAGAAAATGAATGACTTTACTTGATTCTTCGTCTATCTTTCTTGTCTTTTTACTTTAAATCATTTATGATTTTTGAACTCAGATGATTATATTTCTTAAGAGAGTATATGTCTTTTTGTTTTAAATCATTTATGATTTCTTCGTGAACTCGGATGATTATATTTCTTAAGAGAGTATCTGTAAGCGGCCAAACTTTACACAACAAGTGTATTTAACTTTTTAACGTGTATGTGTATGCAATATAGACGTAAAGCCAATGTCTTATGTTCTTAATATATAATTTTGTTTAGCCCGAATCATAACTTATTTCTAATTTTAATTTTTTAAAATTTATCATAGTAATATATATTTTTTTAAGTGGTGTTATTATATTATTACTATTAATAAACTCTTCTAAGCAATGTTATAGTTTTTCATTTATGGTAAGTCAATCATTTTATATAATTTTTTAAAGCATGTAATTCTAATTATTTTTGAAATAATTTATTTATAATTTCAAAATTAGATTATTCTAGATTTTCATGTTTAGTGCAAGAAGTATAAAATTTTGACATATAGTTGTCATACTTATTTTTTAATATATCAAATTCATTGGCGAGTGATATATGATCCCTTTTTAACAAATTATATTTTTTATCAATCTTTTAAGTTCATTATATAAATAATAACATACTTCAAGTAATTCATTATGTAATAAAGAAGTTTTGGGAGAGTCAAATACTTTATCGTTGAAAATCATTAAGGCATAATTTATCATTTCTTCTTCGTTAGTTTACTCTTCCACTTCTTAGTTACTTGATTCGTTGCTTTGTGTCCTAACTTTTTTTACTCATATGATTGCATCTTTCTTGAGTTCACTTTTATTTTTTATATTTTCTTCTTTCAGATTTATCTTATTTTTCCTCATGAATTTTTTGAATATTCTTGTAAGAAGTATCATGTCTTCGTGGCTTAAACTTTCACTCGAGTAATCTTCTTTAAATTTAAAAATAATCTTTTTTTTTTCTTTAGAAGGTTTTCCTCTACTTTATTCTATACTTTGTATGTCAGTTTATAGGTTGTTAAAAATCTTATGAGTTTTTCGAGAAAAAGGTTATTCAAATCTTTAGCTTTTTGGATTGTTATTAACTTTCGAGAAAGAAACCTTAAAATCTTTCTCGTAAATGCAAGATTAGTATAGTTTTTACTAAGAGTTTTTAATCCATTGACAATATCCATAATTTACTAAGAGTTTTTAATTCATTGATAATATCCGATATATGTTACCAATAAATTTGTTTAGTTTTATTTTAAATAATTCATAACTATGAACTAAAAGATTAATTTTAGATTCTTTTACTTATAACTTCATGAGTGACTTTATATCATATATCATGCGCAATATCATAACTAAAAACTCGATTGAACTAAAAGAATAAATTATTTTAAAAAATATTCTTTTTAAATCATTATATTTATCCATCGATTTAAAAGATTTTGAAAAATCAAACTGAATAATATTTCATAAATCAAAATACATAAAAGAAATAAAAAAATCCTATTGTGTTTTTCAATAGGTGCAATTCGTCCCATTGAACATGGAAAAAATGTGTGATAAAGTGTTCATCTTAATTGCTTAAAAATATTATTTATTTACTCTTCGGTGTTAATCTAAATGAAAGAATATTACTATGATATAAATTGTTAGAATTTTAATGGAAGAGGTGGGAGAGGTGAATTAGTGTAAAAATATTTTTATTTGATTTTAAAACTCGATTGATCTAAGTTAAAATTATAAGAAAAGAGAATTATAAGTAAAGAGAATAAAACTTAATAACAAATAAAAGGGCAAGTAAAGAGAGACAAACCAATTTATGATGGTTCAGTCTTCTTGACTTATGTTTACTCTTAATTTCTCTTTCCTCGAGGCTATCAGTTTTTACTATCTCGATCTTTTTTCAATAGATGAATATTAACAACCCTTGTTGCAACTCTCTCAATTTTCAAGCTTAAGAGATAGCATTAATACTCTTTTTATATAATATCTCTTACTTCCTATAATTTAGAATTATAATCAAGCTCACGAGGAGAAGAAGATTCAAACTATGCTCAAAATAAGAGCTTACAATACTTCACTAGCTCAAGAATGAATATCCCATCAACCAAGCCTAAGTGAGGTATTTATAGGCCCCAAAAAGCTTTAAGAATAGAGTCAAAAATTCAAATTCTTTAAAATTTTGGGATACGGATGGTATTACCATCGACATTGGTTGGTACTACCACTGTAACTTTTGACATCGCAAATCTGAATTCCGATGATATTACTGCCACAAAATTTGAATTCTATTGCTACCACAATAGATGGTACCACCACCGGAAATATTGATAAAGCATAAACTATGCTTATCGATTAACTCAAGCAATACTACCGCTTGAGCCTGGCGGTACTACTGCACAAGCCTATTTTAGGCTATTGTTTTGTCCTTTTAACGAGCCCAATTCGACCTAACTTCAATCCCAATGATTTTCTTACAAATGGACTTTATTTCGACTCGATACTGGCTTAAATTGACCCAAAATAATCTCGATTAAGATCTTGACAAATCAACCACACATTCAGCACATTTGCAAAGCTTTTGGCGCATTGTATGCTCTTTCGACATGTCATCCGATCTTCTGACATCTCGTCCAAAGTCCAAACACATCGCCTTTTCCTTCGATACATTGCACATTCCACTGATATATTGATTTTCCTACGACATCCAATCTTTCAACGTAATATCTGATCCTTCTAGCATGATGCTTGAACCTTTAACATGAAATCTGATTTTTAGCACATCGACCATTCCTCTTGGTTGACGTCCAATTTTTGATATAATAATTTTTTTGATATAATGTTTGACTCTCTTACTCGACAATTGATCCTTTGGTGGTCTGAGTCCAAAGAATTTCCTAGGTTACTTATCTCAAAAGTATATTAGTCTCATAAACTCATTAGTTGATTTCATCATTAATTGATTTCATTAAACTCTAAGATTGAATAGGTTCCACAAAGGATCATATAAAACATTATATGGGAGATGTACTAAATGAGAACGCTCCGATGTAAAAGGTTTGAAAAATTAGGAAATTTGGGTCTCAAAAGATGTACCTGAAAGACCTTTGTATAGTGACATTGGGATCATTGTATTTAAGGTCGTGTTAAATATCTATAATGGTTAAACGCTTACTCGAACCAATATATGCAATTATATGGTATGGAACTTGAAAAACATAAGCGTAATAATTAGTTTGAGTCAACTTTTTACATAACTAACTCCATGGGGCTGATTCAGTTGCCTAATCATCCAAGTGACAATAATGTATCGATCAGATAACTATAAAGTATCGATCAATCACATGACTGTGAGATGTCAGCCATACAATACAATGATCGGATGTTAGGAGTCTTCCCCGTGTCATCGTTTCTATACATCACAATATATCACAATGCTTGATAAGTAGCTCGGCCCATCTGTAACCCCCTTGATCTCATCTCGTGTTTCATTGTCTTCGACGGCAAGAACAATTTGGGTTAAGACTTTGCACTGCAAAACTTGGTTTCACCTCAACGGCACCGAGTTAGATATGAAGAGCAGGAACATATGTGCAAGTTTAATCTCCGAGACAATATCTACGTTAGGCATTCCAAATATACAAAATGCACGATATTCACACTTCTTGGACACATTTCTTTTAGTTGATCTGCATCTTCTATGTACGGGAAAAATAAAAAAAACAACACAGTTGAAGGTTGAAGTTCCAATCAAGAAAAGCGACGCATCATCGCCATTCACTCTTCTCTTGTACCACATTAAGTCATCAACACCGAGCAATGGTTCGGAGTCATGTAGTTCTATATTGGCAGAACCCAGGAAATATGAAGAAACCAGAGGCTATTTACACTTGATAAACCACCTCATCAGGTCTTTCGTCTCCTATTAGGATAAGGCCTTCCACAAACAAAGGCAAGAAACACCTTGTCCACCGGCATCCCGTTGAGACCATATCTGGGGGTGGATCGATCATTATAAGGTTTTCGTGTTTCTTGAGGATGCCCATAACACTTGCAGTATGGCCCTCTTTGATATACCTATTGCAACATGAACAAGACAATTAAACTCGATATCAGACGCTTGTACAGATACCAAGCATCTACTAGCCAAAAAAGGGCGAAAGCATAAAAACCCAGGAAGTGCAGATATATATTCTGAGTTGTAAACAAAGACAATAATTGTTCATTCTATTATGTTGGTCTTCTTGTGACTCAGAAAAGAATGACTCAGCAGTTTCACAAGACCTCTAGCCGAGAAAGCCAGTGGTTGAGTTGAGTGAAGGTCGTAAGAATTTGCAGGTACCAATTACTATTTAAGGAGTTATGATGAAGAATACAAGGACAAACTTACTGTGTGGACACTTGATTCCAAATCATCTTATTACGTATTAGTCATTCATGCATAGGTTTGTGTCTTACCCCTCTTTAAGGCGCATTATGCGGTCATCACTCGAAAGATTATGCTCCATCAGCCAACTCAGAAAATCAGGAGACAATTGTTTCTTCTCTTTATTCATATCCAAAATAGTTGTTGGTTTAACGAAAGCAGTAACCTTAGCTCCATTTCCTGCTCTCACAAGAAACCTCATCCCAGTAGCTGAGTCTGATATGTAAAAGTCTGATATATGCCTCTGTCAGAATACGCAAAAAGAAAAGAGAAAAGAAGTGTATTTAGCATCACAAGTGTATGAGCACACAAGGAATATCATCATAAGCAATGACAGGACTATTTGGAGAGATTTTAGCTGCAAAAATTCATTTACATGATTTTCTCGATAGTTCTGTGCATGAAAAGTCAACAATTAGGTCAAGTAAACTACTCGAAAGTAGTTGGTTTTGCAACATCTGCATCTAATTTTTTTAAAAAAAAATCAATTATTTAAACATGTTATTCTGATCCCTTTAGGTACAATTCCACATGGAAATAAGAGATGACATTTGGAGAGGGTGAACGATAGCACAATACCAGCCCTCGTTAACATATCGGTCCCAGTGGTGTTGTGCTTGATTTGAATGTCTTTTTATGTAACATGAAAAACATACTTCAGTTGTTCGGCATACAGAAGATCGTTTTCATGACAAACAAAATTATTTAAGGAATAAATGAAAAATACTAAAATGGCCCCACAGATGATTTCACCCAAACTTGAGCTGATATAAATGACTTCTATTCAAGTTAGTGAGACATGAAGATCGAACCTCTGAGTTCCTCAATCCCCATGAGAAGTGCATAAGATTTGGCTTGGCAGGGAGTCCACTCCATCCTCTGTACTCATATATATCAGTGGAAATATAAATGCACCTAGAAATCTTTTGGTAAGATGCTTCGAGAGGAATACTTCCACATGTGACATGCTGCACCGGTGATAAAATGCATCAAATAACAACCAACAGAAGTCTTCATTTAACCATTGCTAGAGTGCTACATAATTTGCTTTTACTAAAAACTCATTATGAATGACTATCTATCACTCGGACTGCTATGTAAATCATGACATCAACAAAACAAAGCAGGTCCAGTGATCCGAAAGTCATTTAAATGATAAAAGGATTTTCTTTCTCATCACATTTGGGTTAAGCTTCCTTAAATAGATTATGCCAATCAAAAGCTAAAATTCTACATCAATGTAAAGACATAATTTCAATTCCCGAGAAGATTGTATACCATTCTTCAACCTTCAGTTACATGGCTCTAGATGTTTTCTGTTCTCATGATGCTGGTTTTCGAAACATATAATCATCTTGAGTAACAACATCATTCCGGTAGGCACGGATGCATTCTATGACACTGTAAATTAACTACCACTTGAGTTTCTCCCCTCGTGCAAGGTCAGAAATCCAATTTCCATCATTTGCAATCTGCACATTTTCCCCAGTTATCATAAAAAATGCTCTCTGTTGGCTGTGGGTTTGAATATGCTTATCTTTGATCTAGGATCCAGGATTATCCAGTGGCCTTTGCCATCGAAATGATTGTTCTTCCACAAAAGGAAAAAAGGACCCTCGGTGAACAAGCTAGGCTTGATCTAATCAAAGACTCTGTCTCATTTATTCATGGAAAGCTTCTTTTCGATGTTGAGGGTGGAGAACACCTCAAAATCAAAACAAAAGAAATCCAACCCAATTTCGGAATTCCTTATAACCCTTCTATATAAAGATGAAGAACTTCTCTCTAAGCCTCTAGAAAAATCCTAAGAATATTTTTCTTCCGTATCTCCCCACGCCAAAAACTTGATATAAACAAGTATTTGTAGCACTATTAAATTCTTTCCATACTTGAATTATCTTATCCCAAGTAACCTTGTTCTCTAAGTAAGTATCCTATTAGACTCTAAAAATGCTTGCCAACCCTAACATTTGATAATGAAATCCATATGTTTTGAGTATGTTTATCATCAATCACATATGCAATTTAAAGCATAATAATTCTGAGGAGTACCTAAAATGAAGACAAAATATAGAATGCAGGAGAAACTAACACGAGTAAAACAAAAGAAGCAAAGAATTAAAAGAAGGGAAACCTACCCCTGTTATCTTAACTAACTTTCCAATTGGGAGATTTCTTGGGTCGATGGAGGAGTTGGGATGACACCTCAAGAACCTCTCCACTTCCATCCTCCCCATCACGCAGCTCCACACCGCCAGCGCCACCACCACCGCCGCCGCCGCCGCTACCCCCACCAGTATTTCCGGCCGTCCCACTGCCGCCCACACGAACGCCCCGGTCGCCACTCCCACTACAAACATCGCAACCAGCACCCACCTCCACGCTCTCGACACCCCAAAGACGAACCCCTCCCCGTCCACCACCGTCACTGCCGCCCCGTACTCCTTCCTCCTCCTCGCGGGCGCGGGGGACGCCGCCGGCGTCTGCTGCCTGCTGGAGTAGCGGGCCGGGCCGGATGTGATAAGGCCCGTGGCCGGGATGGGGGAGGGAGGGGCGGAGGTCCTCCTCGAGGAGGGGGACGACCGGGGGAGCGGCCCGGAGTGGGGGCCGGATCGGGGCCTGGGAGAAGCCGTGGAGGCGGTGGCGGTTTCCCCGACGGGGATGTCGAACATCCTACCGAGCTCGCCGGACTTCCTTACGTCGCCGCCGGTGTAGGGTACCGCCCGAGAACCGAACGACGGCGACCGCTCCTTGGGCGACATCGGCAGCCCAGAGACAACCATTCCATTGCTTAATTGGTGCGCAACCCTTTGCCCCGACATCGCAGGAGAATGCGAGGATGAGTCACACAAGAACACTCCTTGTGCGCGTGTTGTTGTTGTTGTTGTTGTTGTTGTGGAGTTGCCGTCCTCTTATAGGGCGGAGGAGAGAACGAGGGAGTGCTATTCCCACCAAAGTGTGTAAATTGGGATTTGGAGATCAGGACCGTCCGTTTCGTGGACTTCGTTGTCACAACCCCATGCGTCCTGGAAACTATTACAACCATAAGACGACACCCATTGAATCACATGCCATTGTGATCCGACGTAGCGCTGGGCCCCGCAAAGAAAGACGAGCAAGTTGAACTCCCTTGCAACCGCAACACGTAGCGTGTGCTTGTATAAGATCCGTGGTGTACGTAAAGGGACCAGTGGATCAAGCACCGTCGAGGGATGAGCGGACGGCTACTCCCGCGCTTGATGGAGTAACCCCGCCGGGTCCACTTTCGGTGGAACAACGGGATCACGTCAGCACGTGGCGCACTCCCTTATCGACGGAGCACCTAAGACTGCCACGTCGATGGGCACCGCGGATAACGAGGTGGTCCCCGCGACGGAGGTAACACCTGACGACGAAGCATGCGAGTCGTTCAGTTAGAGGCCGAGATCGACGAACGACGTCGCGGATCGCGTCGAATGGACGGATGAGATCAGGGGACTCGTGTGGTTGCTCGTGAACGTGCCGACGTGTCGCGTTAGGGACGGGAACAAAACATTACCGCGGATCAAGGGGACCAGTGATTGCATGGAAATCTCAAACGTCTACAGTTGTCAACGTTTTAGTTCGTTACGATCAGATGGCGGCAAAGGCGCCAATCCCAAGAAAATAAATAAATAAAAGGCTGGTGGGAGTGGGACCCGCCGATCAAACCAATATAACGATCCCACGTTGCACGATCATCGAAGGGGGAACTGCGACGAAAGGGATCTCCGTGACACAACCAATGTGGCAAATTAGGCGCCGTTTTAGTTATATTAATGACTTATTTGTATGAACCAAATTCTTCTTAATATGATGCTTTTAAATCGGTCCGAATTGAACAACAAATCATATGGCTATTGATTATAATTTTAGGCCCAAATCCATCGAAATTATCTTATCGATTTGACGTGATTTCTCTTTTCACATTGTAGCCTCTAACGTACTTCTTGTGCACCGATCTCCTCCACGTTGACCATAGGGTATGGTTCTCCCTAGGGAGCAGCACTTCTAGTCCGGCCCAGACCAGTAAGAACTGTTTCAAACGTAAGCATTGCAACAAGTCAAACGTAAGCCAGACCACATGGGTGTTGAATGACTGTTGGTTGACCAGCTGGTGTCCCATTGCAAAGGGGTCGAATTTGGAGGCTTTGACAATGGCATCCGTTGACTTTGGATTTCTTCATAATGTGGTGGTGTCCTTTGTGCTCCGAGTGGACAACCTGCCCTTGCTCCTCTATCAGATAGTGTCCATGGTCAACTAGATGGCAAACTGTGATCTCCAATGTAAATATAAACATATATATAATATATTGAGGGATGATAATTATAATGATTAGAATGGTTTCGAACATTGATCCGAATTAAGGTATTGGTCGAATAGATGGGTCAACAATTCTATACACAATATTAGTATGTTTTTTTTAAAATAAATATATATATTTGATAGAAATTAAGTGGCAATATCAAAAGAGGGCGATAGGGACAAGACGAGAGTGTTCTCATTGAAGGGGATGATAAAGTAACCAATAATATAACATATTTTTCTTTTCTTTTTACTGAAAGAGACTTAAATGTCATGTAGAAAAATTCAAATACCTTTGACAACAACTAATCAGTATTTTATTGTCTTAGTGAATTGAGACCTACTGAACGCCCAGTTTGGGATTTATAATTATGGTTGAAATTAATCCATGTCAAAATAGTCCATTATGGATTAAAATAATAAATTAATGAAGAGAGTTGACTTAAAAACCAATACATAATAAGAGAGTTGGGGTTTGGAATTGATGGTTATTGGATTTATAATCAACATAAAAATTCATCCAAAATATGGTTTGTAATATTTTTTTTATTTCTTTTCTAAGTAGTAATTAACATCCCATATATGTAATTTTGCGACATAAATGAATGATATATGAACTGGTCTACGCATAGTGGGCTCTTATAGGCCCATTTCAAGATTTTGATGGGCCATCTCGTGGGATCCACAGTAGGTGGAACGTGAGCAAGTCAGATTGTCGACAAGGCTGGGTCCATATCGTTCCGCCTTTCTTAGGGCGCCACATCATCTGGTACACGAATCACCGGTCGCCGTAAACTACTCCCTGCGGCCTCGGCCGTCTCTGCAGGTATCCCACCATCAACTTCGCTTCTCTGAGGCTCTCCTCGTCGCTGTTCTCTCTTTCTTCGTCTTGGAAGGAGGGCTTCATTTGGCGTCGGGGGATACGAAGGTGGTGGAGCTCGCCGTGAGTTGATGCAAAGCTTCGCTCTTTCCTGCACTAGGCACAATTACATGGGTTCCTTGTCTACGAAGTGTTTGGAGAAATGCCAAAGCAAGGGTTTACTTTCGAGAAGCCTCTTGGTTGCTGGGATGGACCTAATCGTCCAGAGCTAAGTGCCACATACTCACCAATCTGGAGATTAATATTATATCAGCTGCGGAGGTTGACTGGCAATTCTAGTTTCACTTTTGCTGATTCACCAACATCTCTATGTGATCGAAAGGTATGAGATCCACTGTCATTCATAAGGTCGTCTAAAGCAAGCTTCGGACCTTCTTCAGCACAAAATCCGAGATGAGATCTGGAGCGATGTTGACCAAGTTGGTGCCTTTGGCAACACCACCTCAAACCAAGAGTCGAATGCTTTTAACAGGACGGAGAAGTCCACCTTAGCTTCACAGCAATCCCCTCGCTAAATGGAGCTGTCCCTCTCTGTCTTCACAAGCAGACAAAGCCCTTGGCCGAATTGCCATGCATGATCGAAACATGGGACATTCTGGAACTTTATAAGCCTCCTTTCACGCCAAGGTGGTCGATCAGCTTTTGTTATGGGAGAGGCACTGCGGGAGAAGGGATAAAGGAGCAAGGAACAGACCCACCTTTTCCCTAACACGAGTACTCATCTTCTCCACCAGTGTGCCTTCCAACTACTCGAAGACAACATGTTATGAAGTGCTCACCTATAAGGATAACAACTAGGCTCTTTGAGGTGCTAATGCTGCTCCATGTCTATGGGTTACCACAGTAGGAACAGTCATGTTTACACTGCATCTATATGAATGAAATCCAAGGAGCGTATCTTTAGAGATTTCTAGAGTACCTTTTGCATGGCAACGCATATGCAACCTCTAACAAAGAAACTAAGTAAAATGTATTGGTTCTTACTCGATTAGGCTTCATCTTATACTCAAGTGGTGATATGGCAGATGATGTTGTATGATAAAACTGAAGGCCATCTCAAGATCATTGTCATAGACGGGGACAGCACGCATGCATGCTTTTGGCCCTCGCTTACCTACATTTATTTGCATGCATGAGGCCCAGGAAATCCGAGAAAGCGATCAACGTCTGCAGAGACAAAAGCTTGTTCGTCAGAGCAAAACATGGACGCCTCTTTATCCACCACCTTTACTGAACGAAACCATGTTCGCTTCCCCAAGTCCTTCTCAGAGAGAGAGAGAGAGAGAGAGAGAGAGAGAGAGAGAGAGAGAGAGAGTACAAATAGAAGTCCAAGATCAAGGCGTGGGAATGTGGTGGCAGGCCGACTGAGCTATTCAGATCATGAGGTCAAGGAGCTACTCATATCATGAGGTCAAGAAGCTCAAATATACAACACCACCTCATCTATCATGGTACATTGTTTACGTGAGATCGAGTGAACAATCATGCAAGCGAAGCTGTATCAGCCAAGAGAGGATGAGCGTCCAAACTGGGAAAAGAATATATACCAGCTTCATATTTGGTCAACCATTTTGGCACTTAATATAGTAAATCGACATGATAATTCTTAGATCCCAGTAGCACACCAAGTGGTACTAATAAATCAACACGGTATTAGAAGCATCGCCTAAGCCATGTGTTTTTAACTCAGTGATTACACGTTGGGATGTCATTCATTCACTGTCTGGTGTGATTCGTCACTAGTGGTGCTCACAAAAGATAAGGTGGGGGAGTAATGGAGAGAGAGAGAGAGAGAGGGTGAACAGCCCAAAGAAGGGTTGTCCCCTTTGTTGGTGTCATGGCAGAGCCACTTTAACGCCGGTGTCTCCGTGGTGGTGGTGGCAAGCGTTTTAATAGTAGATAGAGAGAGAGAGAGAGAGAGAGAGAGAGAGGGAGCAACTCCATGTACGCATTCCCGAACCTTGTTTCAAGGCACGCACACATTCTGCACTCCTGCGCCCAAAGGCCATTAGAATAAGTGAATAAAGACTCTTCTCTCCTCTTCCTCAACTAAACCACCTCTCTCTCTCTCTCTCTTTCTCTCTCTCTCTCTCACTTTTCTTGTTGCAAGAGTGGAGAATGTACTGGTGAAGTGTAAGAAAAAGGAGTGGTTTGGTGTTATCAGTATGGGGAATATTGCAGGTGAGCATGCGAAAAAGAGGTGGTGTAGAGCTAATTTATTGAACTCAGTACACTTCTTTATTGGTTTGGAGTACAACAAGCCAAGCATGACACACCTTCTAAAGCTGAGACGAGCTTTGGTTATACCTCACCCTCCATAATTCCCCTCACCGTCCTCCTACCCTTTTCTTGAAATCCCGATACCCCTTCCCATGCCACCCTATTTTATGCCCTCCCCCTCCCTCACTGCATTGCCTCTCACTCCTCTCTCCCTCTCCTATTGAAACCCTAATCCAAGACACAAGGATCAGCAGAATCCAAGCACAGCAGTTTTGGCCCTGCAGACGCATGCCGTCATCGCTGTGGTGGAGATGGTGATAGTGATATACCAGAACGAAGAGCGCTACAAGGGCTAATAAGCTCATGATATCGCATGTTGATACCATGTGACGTTCGAGATGGCGGATGAGGTAAGGTTCCGATGATCCAAGGAAGAAAGGAAAGCGATATTGGTGAGGTTCAATCCGATGATTGGCTCTACTTGTATCAGTAAACCAGTCTCAGATTGAGCCGCGCCAATATCTCTTTCATTCTTCCTACACTCAACAATAAAGCCCGTTCTTCACCCATATTTCTTTTCTATAAGATCAAAATCATCTCTTTCCTGATCGAACAAAGAAACCTACGATTGATGACACCCACATCATCGAGTCATCAAAAAGGTTTAGATCAGGTCTTTGCTTGTGCATCAGTAGTGCAAGTAGCCTTGTCGGATCTCACCAGAGAACAGTATGTGTCCTATGTTTGCTGAATTATATTCACAGTGTGGTTTCCCCGTCGATGCTAATCCTTGAACAAGGAACTCCGGGAAAGCATACCTTGTACCGCCATTTGGCTTCCTTCTTCCTCCTTCATGCATGCAATTACTTACATGCAACATGTTTTGCTTAATGCATCCATGTCAGATTAATCTCCTCCCATAATGCATCTATCCTGTCACTTTTTGCTGGGCGCACATCAGAGAGTAAAAGATCATTCTTTGGATCTCCATGTTTATTTTTGGGTCATACTTCAACCAAGAACTATGTCTCCGGTATACATCTTTCATGCCATGTTCTAAAAAGACAGTGTGATCTTTTGTTGCTGAATTTATAGTGGACAAACTGAACCATTAGCACCCTAACATTAACACAAATTTCTCGGAGCTTCACTGCTGCTAGTAATCCTACCGATGAGTGATGATGTTCTGCATATCTAACACACTCCCAGACCTGAAAAGAAACCACATGAAGGTGTGTTCTTCCTCGTTCGCAATCTATTTCCTCAACATGTTTAGTCACCCTCGTCCACTCATGACCCTGCTTGCGATCCAATTCAGCATCCACCCACCTGAACCCGTACAATAGCACAAGTTCTATTTCTACGTTTCTGATGATTGCTAGCTTTACCTGAAAGTGAATGTATCACATGCCTGAAGAGAATTAGATGTTATGTGAGATATTAGTTTCTGAGCTTGACGATGAAACTGTGTCTTGTACAAGGTAAATTTCTTGCTGCATCACTTCACTTCACTCACCCTCAAATCCAGAAACTGGACATGAAAGGTTTGCTTAACTTTCTACAGCATGATGGTAATACTAATTCCGCTATCATGAGTGGGTATGTAGGTTTACAGGAAGCACAGCATCTCTTTCTTATTAGACCCTTTACAGCCTTAGGGGAGCTCCATAGAAAAAGGCTCTAAGTGAGTTTGTAAGACTTCCTCGAACAATTAGAGTATTAAAAATATATTTTTTTTCGAATCCTTCGATTTCTTTATTAACATAAAAATCGAATGGATTTTTGTCGGACTTAATCCCTCATTCGCAACTCCAATTTCCTCGATAATCATAATCTACAGTAACTGAAGTCTACGAATAAAACACTTTTTCTTTAGCAAAAGAGAAAAAAAATAAAGAAAAATCGAACCATCCATTCGTGTCGTTTAATCGGGGAGGATAGATAGAGGAGCCACACACACCTAAAGGCCAACTTGAGAAGCAAGAAGAGCATAACAACTCATACAAGCCCACAAAGCTCACGAATGGACGGCGACCATCTAAAATAGCTCGAACAAGGAAAATGAATGATGATGAAGCTGGTAACAAACCAACCTGTCGCAGTAGCGTATTGTCTCACGAAACCTGCGAGTGATTGCGGATTAGCGATAGTGAGAGACAATCACATGGTAAACGTGATGATTATGACTTTCATCTCATTAACAGAGTCCGAAACAGGGGATTAATTGCTGGTTTTCTTCCACAGCACACACTGTTACGGACTACCAAAAGCTCAACCCACATTCGAAACAACTTACTGTTTGTCCCGAGAAGAGTACAAAATGATCCATTCGTTCATAGGACGATTCATATGATTTCATTGCTCGAGAGACGATTCACTTGAAAGAACGATTGCAGCAAAGCAAATGCATTATATGGTCATTTTTTGGGGGCTTCCTTCAAAGTGGGATTTCGATGACTTGTGATAAGTTCGCATTCAAAACGCCTTTAATCAACTTCCCAATTTTGCTATCGTTACTCCCAAATCAACCCATTCATAACCGACCAACATATAAGCTAATGTGAAAGAAATCACTTTCTCCTCCCATTTCATCAAACTGGATGTTTCGCCTGTACAAAAAAAAAGGGGGAAATTATTGGTTTGCAGAGCTACAATTCTATTAGATCTGAAACCACCGCTCTCTACAACTCTCGTTTCCCTTTTTCCTTACTTTCTTCACTTGTACTTCCTTCGATCTGAAGCTAATAATTTTACTCCATCTTTGCGACGCCGATCCGCTTGATCCCAGCATTCCGAACGCTCTCCGATGGCGGCCGAGACTCCGTGCACGCGGCACCGCTCCGCTCTAAGCTCGTCATGTAGCTCCTCACCTCTTTGCGGATCATCTCTTGCATCACCGCCAGCAACTCCGCGCTGAAGGGAAACGGCGCGTTCGGTCGCGGTTCCTCCTCCGCCGCCGAGGACCGCTTCCGTTTATCCGGGGAAACGGCAGCACCAGCGGTGTCCGCGCACCTCGCCGTCGCAGGCGGCGGTCGCGCCTGCAGGGTCATCGGCATGGACGGCGCGAGGTCAAGCTGTTTATGCCTGCCGTTGTCGTCACCGGTGCTGTGGTGGTGATCCGGGATGTCCATCGTCTCGGAGCCAGGGAGGGAGAGCGAAAGGGAGGTCACCGGATCTTCGGTGTTCTTTGGGGCGGCGACTGTCGGAACGACAGAGGGCTCCATCTGATGGGGGTTCAGAGCGGATGGGGTAGGTAAAACGACGCCTCCGGTTCTCGGCACCGGTCGATAGATGTGCGAGGCGGTGGAGACCGGTGATGTCATGGGAAGGCTGTGGTGACTGGAATCACTGAGCTCGGATGCCGAGGGGCTTCCTGGGCTCAAGCAGAGCCCGGCGCCGCTCGAAGAAATAGCCGGACCGTCGCTGCTCGTTCTTTTCAACGGCCGCGCCGCCACGACGTCGTCGTCGGGGTGGTGGCGGAACCCGCCATCGCCGGCGGAAGAGGAGGCACAGTACCTTCGCTTGAGGGTGGAGTTCCAGTGGTTCTTAACGGCGTTGTCCGTCCGACCCGAGAGGAGGCGAGCGATGGTGGCCCACTTGTTTCCGAAACGACGGTGGGCGCGGATGATGGTCTCGTCCTCCTCCGGCGTAAAGGGGCGGTGCTCCACCTGCGGCGACAGCTGGTTGCACCACCGGAGCCTGCACGATTTCCCCGATCTCCCAGGTATCGACTTGCTTATCAGCGACCAGTTCCTCGGCCCGTGGCGCTGCACCAGCTTCTGCAACGCCTCGTCTTCCTCCGGGCTCCACGGCCCCTTGATCCGATCCACGTCCTTGCTCCTGCTCCCTACCACCGTCGCCGCCATCGAACCAACCACCACCCGACCCAAGCTACCGTCCGAGAAAAGGTACGATTTCTATCGCGTATTTGGTACCGTGCGGAGGAGGGAAGCCTATTAGTGCACTTGAGATGGAGGAGGTAGTGGCCGGAGCTAGTGCTTTGGGTCGGTTATATAGTAAGCGCAGGCACAAGGGAAGCGGTGGGTTAACCGGCTATTAGCCGACTGAAGTGACCGGGCGCGGGGCGATGGGCGCACCCGTTTTCTACACGCGGGCGGTTGCTTGCATACAGCTGGCAAACGGACACGCGTCGGTCACTCGCTGCAACCGTCTCGCCCGCTCCGCCTTTTCCCATCTCCGTAATTTAAATAACGCCCCCCTCCTCCGTAGCATATAGCGTCATTTGACCTCGTCCGTTTCACCGTTGAATACGTTCCGTCTCCTTTATCTCTCGCTACAAAGACACGATACGCGCACCTCTTGGGTGACTCAAGGATCCACCCTCATCGCGTCCGACGATCTCAGGCGTCCGACCCGCGTGGGCCCCACCCACTCCGTACTCATGTGAGTACCTCAGGGTGCGTACGGAGGGCATGGCCCATCCGTGCGTGCAATTAAGAATGGCCCAACTGGCACCAGCTTTCGCTGGAATTATGTGCTGCGATCCGCTCTGGGGGTGCCCTACTAACTGCATAGATGTTTGAAGGGGAGGAGCGACGATTTTGAAGTTTGAAAGGAGACGGGGGCCAGGCTGGAGAGCACTTGGGGGCAGGCGTTACTTTTCCAACCATGTATTCAATGTAATATGTGGTGTGCGTAATGTAATTGGTCGAGTGTCGGAGAAATTAGGGTGGGATTGGTTTGGTGGCAGAAGACTACAAAATAGCCTCGGAATCAGAGATTGGATCATTACTGCGGTCCCGTCCATCCAGCCTGTCAACTCGCCAACTGCACCTTCTAACGGCTCTCCTTTTTCTTCCTTTTTCTTTTTTTGCCCGTTAACTGCCAAAAATCGATACCTAATCTGTTCGACCACATGCGTTGATCGACAGCCGGTCTTCCTTCCATCCACCTTTATCCAATATTCCTTTATAATAATAATAATAATAATAATAATGTAACCATCCATTTCACTTGGTCTAAGATCTGCTGATTTTGACGGCGTGTAAGCATTAAAATAAAAACAGGAGGCGATGGCTTTGTTCGTTGACGAGTGCACAAAATATTTGTTTTGATTGAATTGAAGGAGAAGCACGTTATAGCGACCGCGTCGGCCGATCCGCTTTAAACATCTGCTGGAATCCAACTCCTGACAAGCGTGCCAACCTAACTGGTTTAGTTACTCATTATTCGTAATTAATCGCGACTCCCCAACCGACAGCCCCGTCCTTATGGCGCCTGTCACCGACGCGTCGTGACGCCCAACCAACCGAGTCAAATATCAGTGTGAAGAAATGAAGAAAAATTAAATAATTAATGTGACAAACATATTTTTATTTTTTTAATTATATTATGCGTGTTTTGCATCGTCTTTTATGAAATTTTAATAAAATTTAATAAAATTTTACCAGGGTCGTATTTACTCATAAACTATACCTTTAGCTTTTGAGTTCATTTTCTATTTGCTTCATAAATTATGTTTCGGCTGTTCTTTACAGACTTTTGCCGATTTGTCTCTCCTCCAAAGTAGTTTTTCCTTGACCGTTCGTTCATCACCAAATCTTGTGAGCTGATGCAGAAGAGATATTTTAGTTAAAAAGAAGAAAAGGAATATGGTTGTATATTTTTAACGGAGGCGAGAATTGAAGAGTCGTATTTCTCAGCCTGCAAGTGTGACACGTCAGCGACTTGTCAATTCATTCGTCTCTCCTCAGTCTCTCTTCTCGCCTGGAACACGTGTGAGGACGCACCTCTATGTCTCTTATTTGCCCTTCCGCTTCGCCGGATATTGCCAGCGGATTTCGTTCCGTAGTGGCCCAGGCTACAGGGTAAACAAGTCATTCGCCAAGGAAGTCACATGATGTGCACTGCGCAGTAAGTATGACGAGGGCGGTTCTCTGGACACGAACACCGTACCTGACACTTTTACGGTGGATTCGTTGGGTCCGCATCCGAATCAGTCGGCTGGAAATCATGCGATCAAGGAAATGGACGGTGATTCCAGTGCTTCGTCAGTGCGGCTACGAGACGTCGGGTGTGTTCCCGAGACACCGCCGCTGGCCTTCCTGCGTCCGCGCACCTCGTTCTGTCCCCATGTACGGAAATCACAAGCGGAATTCTTGTGATCTCACCTTTCCTCTCTCTCTCTCGTCGAGTTCGAGAACAGTTGCGTGGGAACACGTGGTAGACATGAGGGTCGGCGTCGGGGGACCGTCGCCGAACGAGGAAGGGGATAAGCTCGGCCCCTATTGGTTGCCAGCTAAGACGCACCCACGGGGAGTCCGCGGCGAGCGACAGCACGTGGATGGCCTGCTCGCATTCGAAAGCGGCCGAAGCTACCGTGCTGCCAAAGGACTCTCGCGGTGACGAGCCTCTCTCCACCTGTCGTCGAATTCCCCGTCTCCACGTCCTGCCGCCACGACAATTGGTCTCTTCTCCGCACTCTTCGTTATACAAGTCGTTGCTCTCGTCGTTACTACGGTTGCTACGAACGGATCAAACTCGGATTCCCTTGCGGAGGAGATCCGATTTGTCAACTGGAACCGCCTGTGCTTAATGGGTTGGTATTTCTTAAACGAGGGTCAAACTGGTTCAAAGTTAGTCAGCCGTGCATGAAATCCCTATGATCAAATAATGACTGAAATAACTTTTCTTTGATGCAAATATAGATTTCAATATGACTTGGAATACTTACATAAATAATATCTAGTCCATGATACTTATTAAATGGATCCAAGAGAATTTCACATAGAAAAAGAAAGTGTGTGAGAGAAAAGGTCACACACTTGACATTTAGACTCCTTTGTGTTCCTTTCCTTCCTTGTTCTTTGTTTGCGATGTGAGGTTTGTGTGCATTGTCGAGGAGCAACGTATAGGCCACTCCATCTTTTATTTCTTTCCTTTCTTAAACGTCGGCCTCCATCTTTATCTATCATACATGGGTGGAAATGAATTGACCACAAAAGATGCCAAGGAGGGTTGAGTCTAGTGGTTTACTTTTGATATATTAGTTTATATGCTTGTGGCTATGCCATATCTTATCATACATGCTACTATTTATTTTATGGGTTGTGGAGTTATTCGATGCTTTTCTAAGATCCAGTGGCCTTAACTCTTTTGACTTTCCTTGAAACCAATGTGTATGTGAGGTGTGCAGTGGAGGCATTCGGATTTAAAGTCCATATGTTCAAAGAGCTTCTCGAAGGGAATTTAATTTTGGTGCTCAAAGAACATCCATATGATTGACGTTTTCTACCACCTCATCCCAATCATCAGGCATGAACATTATACCTTCTATCCATAAGATATTTTGACTGCTTTATTGTATAGATAGAGAATTCAATCGCATGTATACGATTATAAGTGATATCCGTTACATGTAATCATGTAAGCTAACAGTCTCCCTTCTCGTAAAATATTTTATGAAATATTATATTTTTTTATGATCAAATATAAAGGTTCATATTCCACATAATAAAAATAATTATTTTTTTATAATTCATATTAACATTCATATACTTCGGATTATGACTGAATTGAGAAATCTTTTCTGATCACACACTTCTAACAAATGACACCTCGAGAGCTTACGTTTTTACTTCAAAAATATATTGGACAATCCTATGAATATGAATCTGGATCATGTTAGGTTGACCAACATGTCAACAACTTTTTTCCTTAATAATAATTAATTTATTCATAAAATTTATATTAATAATAAATCTTATTTAAATCGATCGAGATGAATGTTAAATAAATATTTTATTTATACTTTTTCATACGTGTGATATCCCTAAAACTTTTCAGCAAATCGATTAAAGTTAATTTTTGATTCTCGAACAATAGAATAAAATAATTTTATTAAAAAATAAACCAACAAAGGTAAGAAATAAATTGTTTCAACCACTCAACTTAGGTAGCCAACTACATTGCCCATGGCCTCTTGTATTTGTTAACAAGGACACAAAAACATGCACATCAATCACATGCAAGTAATAAATAATAAACACAAAAAGGTACCCATACTATAACTACGAAGCCTCACATGTTTCACATTAAATAATTATCTATACGTGACTTAGTTTACATTCTCTATTCTCTACCCACAAAGGTGCCAAATTTGTTGCTTTATACTGATCTCAAAAACATACAAAATGGTATACTCTGACATGTGATGCTTCAAATATGTCGAGTTGGAGATTTCATATTTAATATGATGTCGGCAACAAATCATTCGCCTCCAAGTCAATCCACCTTTATCTCTCGGTCTTAGCCACGTCGCCATCAATCATATCGCGGCTCGAGATTGATTCCAACCATTGCAATTGCACCCAAATTATTACGACAAAAATGAAAAAAAAAATGATGGAATAAATCTTTTTTTTATTCACATGATAGAGAATGATCGATCACATCACATCATTCTAAAATTACACGATGTTTCTCTTTCTAAAAGCGTATGTTTGGGGGTCGGATTTGAATTGGCATCGATGGTAATTGAATCAAAGATACAAGAGGAGGAGGATGCGATTTGAGTTGATGCGACGAGAGCATCAACCTAATTGTCGGTAGGAAAGATTTTAGAGGGGATTGGGAGTTGGCTTGGCTGTGAAAGCGTGCCATTGTGGCTCGTTTCTTGAATGGGAAAGGATGTGGATGAGCATCGAAGAAATGAATCATGTAGTTAGTACGTCCATGTCCATGGAAGTTGGCGATCCTTGTTTTCCCAGCTTCCATCGTTTAGGACTGGGACACTTTTGTCTCCCGCGATAGCATAGTTCTTTATTATATGTCATGTAAGATCAATATGTAAAGAAAGATAGACCTCGCTATGATGTTATACTCACCCGTTCGTTGCTTGTTGAAGAGAGTGCAAAGTATCTTTAACATGGTCAATGGTCAAACGATATAAAAATATATTATTTTATATTTTGAATGTGTGATACATTAAGATTTTCAGACCCAATTTGAATTTGGTGTATGACATTATCTCTTATCACAAGATTAATATCGAAAAAGCGAGAGGTTAGATATGTGGTCCAACAAAAAATAATATCGAGGTGTACCCAATAAATGATCCTCTTACACTTAATTTAACGAAGTTAGAGGATTCAAAAAATAAAAATATGGGTCATTGCACTAAAATATTGATTAATAAAAATATAGGTTATGTAGGTATGCACTAAATTATCAAACATTACGGTTACTATATAATGGCTTATGTTGACATTATGAGTTCTCTACTAACGTGTCAAGATGAATGACTGACGTGACTAAGTTTGACTGGTTTTACCTTGAATCGATTATGCATCGTATTACTTTCTATTATTCAAAAATGTCAACATGTTTTATTCTAAACCGTTTAAGAAATTATCGACGCTAACGGTGACATATGTTATGGTTTTGATTTCAACACAATAATAAATGAAATTTTGTGATTTGAAGATTTCAAGAATTCTTTTCTTCGATGGAAATATTTTTTTTTAAAATATAAAATGCTCGTCGATTAAAC